TATATATATATATATATATATATATAAAAACATCATTTTGTACAGTATGCAAGCTAAAAACCTTTAATAACAATGGTCTCGCACAGGTTTGGCAACAACTTTCTGCTATATACAATATGGCAGTGATGTTGATGTGCGATACTACTCCCAACTTGCAGAATAACAGGGTATTCAAATACTTATTTTCCTCACTGTTAGTTAAACCACAACACTCTAGGCGTCCTATTCCTTTTAATTTAGAAGCTGACAAAATTGTGAAATAACTTCACAAAAATGTCTACCAACATTAATGAAATACATCAAATACAAAGCTTTAACTTTACAACTAAATTTTCCAGGTGAAAAATAAAATTTAAGTGAAAAGGGAAGGAAAAAATAAAAACGTTTAAAGTGGAAAAATATTTGAAACAGCATTCTAAATAAAGAACTGAAAGTCAGATTGCAAAGACTTGATCTGCTGGTAAAATTTCCAGGATTCAAACTTTAGTCACATATGCTGCTTCTACTAATTTTCAAGGAGGCAAAACAAAAAGTAACCCTGAGTTATTAGTCATGTGTGCTGAACTAGAGATCGACAGGAGGGGCGAAGAGGTCCATGGTCTCCACAATGAGCGACAGATGGTCCAGAAATGAGTTGACAGAAACTCTGAGGATTCGAGCTTCATCTGCACTCCATCTTCTGAAAAACAACAAACAACAGCTCACAGAATCGGCTGCTAGGGACTGTATGACTTAGGGAAACAAGGAAAAAAGGGCCTAAAGCTCTTACACAGACAGCGTGCTTTCAGACACACTCAGGTGCTTGTTGATGCCACCTCTCCTTGGCTCTCGGTCAGGGGAGAGTGACCGGAGGGCAATGGTGGCCTCCCGGGCTGATGGAAAGGGGACATCCAGCAAGCTTTTCGAGGGGTCAAGGAAGACTGGGTGACATGTGCAAACTCAAAGATGCTAGACAATTAAGCTACTTTTAATAGCATTTTTCCATTTTGATGATTTATTTACCCTTTAAAAAAACAACAAAAACCCCAACATTAATAAACATTAGAAATAATTAAACCCCAAATTAGAAAATTAAATAATTAGGTGAAACTAATCTGTGTTTCTTAATAGTCAGACTTTAAAAATGGGATTATATGAGTTTGTATTCTAGTCATTCAGTAATATCCTGCTGCAATCTGACCACGTCTGATTGAAATATGCAGCTGCAAGAGGACATGACTGAACAAAGGGTTTTCATCTTTGGAATATAAAAAAGGAAGCCCTGACCCATGTGTTGGATGGATATATAGACATACATATGAGAGTAGACCCCACATTGACCGCTTTCACCTACGGCCAAAGACGTGATTTGGTGGCGTCATCTTCGGGTTGTCGACAGCTCCGATTAGTAAAATGCTTTGAGCAGGCAAGAAATCAATTTTAATTAACTTTAATATTAATGGTTTTGTTTTTTTGTTTTTTGCTTTAAACCAACAAATGCTTCAGTGCATTTAAATATTCTTAGCAGGGTTAAGAGTAATAGAATATTCTTATAGAACGTATGTTTGTTGCACAGCCGCTCATACATTTTTATAATGCTTTTATTACTATATAAAGAAACACATTTACACAAACGGGTATACACAAATATATACATTCCTCTCCCAAACAATTAATGAGATTAATCGATTGTTTAAAAATATTTAACTAACACCTCCAATTAAAATCTACAGTTGAGCTGTTTGTGACCTGTGGATAGTGGTTAGGATGGTTCCTCCTAAAGTCCAAGAGGATCTCCTTGGTCTTCTCCACGTTCAGGATCAGGGTTTTATCTCTGCACCAGTCCACCTCCTCTCTGTAGTCCTGGTCGTTGTCGTCTCTGATGAGGCCCACCACCGTGGTGTTGTCTGCAAACTTCACCATGCGATCGGTGGTGAACCTGGGGACGCAGTCATGTGTCATCAGGGTGAACAGCAGGGGACTCAGGACGCAGAACTGAGGGTAGCCTGTGCTTAGACTGATGACATCAGAGGTGTTCAGTCCGACCCGGACTGACTGAGGTCAGTTGGTGAGGAAGTCTAGCAGCCAATAGCAGAGGGGTGTATTGAAGCTCAGCTGTTCCAGTTTGCCAATCAGATGCTGTGGGATGATGGTGTTGAAAGCTGAACTGAAGTCCAGGAAAAGCATCCGCACGTGAATGTTTCTGTGCTTCTGTAGAAGGTGGTGAGGATGGGTGGGGGCAGGCGGGCTCTCCTCATCCTCCTCAGGAAGTCCAAGCGCTTCTGTGCCCTTTTAACCAGTGAGGTGGTGTTTACAGTCCAGGTGAGGGTGTCTGTGATGTGCACCCCCAGGAATTCGGTGCTGCTGACCACCTCTAGAGCCAAGCTGTTGATGAGCAGTGGAGCGTGGTTAGTCTGGTTCTTCTTGAAGTCCAAGATGAGCTCATTCATCTTCCCCACATTCAGGATCCTGTGCTCTTTGTGTAATTGCTGTTGAGAACTGTTCAATAACATTTAAATAGTATTATAATCAAATTATTTCCTTGTGGTTTGTGTAAAAGGATTTTGGAGCTAATCAGGTCACATGTGACATAAACACAGAGACTCAGGTTCATGCCAGATGACCAAATCTACTTTGTTATAGTTTTATTGTGAAGTTTATCTAATAGCGCATATATTTACCTGAGAACTGATGATGTCTGAGTGTTAATCATCCTGTTTGGGTGCACTGAAGTATATATCACAATAAAGTAGTGAATCTCAATCTATTCACTTATTTATTTTTTATTGCATCTTAAATAGGCCTATAGACTCATAGGTCTTTTGTGTATAAATAAATAAAAAATAAAAAAAGTCACAGTAACCCCTGTTCAAAATTATCTCCAGCGGCTCTGCCTCTTGTTGCTGTTGCACAGACACACACACACGAATATATATATTAGTGATGGGTCGGGCAACACCGATGCGTCGGCGCATGTGTCGGTCTCATAGAGCGAAACCTGTGTCGACGTGTGTATCGCTACGGAAAAGTCACGTGACCGAAACAGTTCCTGTATCGGTCACGTGACTGATGTTTCGAACTGATTGACAAGCCTTTATAAGGATGCGCATCTGCTAGAACAATCTTGCGTGTTTTGCGAATATAAAATTCATAAAAAATTATGGAGCTTCCTCAAGCAAAAAGAAAGGTTTCTGCCGTGTGGGACCACTTTGATGTCATTTCGGAAAATAAGGTATTTGTTTTAATTTCCTTGTTTCATCCTGTTCCTCTCAGAGTTTCCACTTGATTCATCTACTAACATACTATTTTTTTTTTTTCTTTAAGATGACCTTTGGCAACATTTTGATCT